AATGATTAAGCATTTCGGAGTGCCTATGGTTCTAAACCATGTACTTTACATCATAAAAATATCTAAGTAGTGAGCAGAAATAAGGCAAATTGCATCAATAGAGGTTGCTATGGATGATGTCATTATGTCATCTACAACGTGAGAACAAACTGCTGTTCGTAAAGAATCTTCATCTAATGTACACATTTCGGATTCAATAAATATGTACTGCATAAAATCCCACATATGATCATCACGTACTCTTGCTGTAGAATGGATTGCTGTAAATTCAAATCTCACATCTTCATGTAAATTGTTATCCAGCTACTATTCAGAACAGATAAATAATACTTAAATATAAAACATATATCGGTTTAAAGAAAGTTTCATTTATTTTTCTCAAAACCTTTGAAGACGTCTTTTGGAAGCAACTGTTATTTTCTCCCAGCTAAAGACTTTTCTATTGTATTTTAAATTACATATGTTTTTAATGATTAACTGTGTCGTTGTTAAACTTTGTCAATTGAAAACCGAGTAAAAAAAATCTACGGCAGTAGAATGTTATTTTCTATTGCACAAGATTTTCTAGATAATGATATCTGAAAGTATTTATTTAAATTTAAGGTAAATAATTTGAATTATTTGAATCCAGATAAAATATTAAGAGGGTTTCTTTTGAAATACATGTGTTCTGCTCTTTTATCTGCCTACTGAATATGATGTTTAAGAATCAAAGTGTTTTTATCAACTGTTATTACTGTTCTTGTGACTTATCTCATTTGTCTGAGACGATCTTGCTGTATTGTACTGTATGTAACATTCATCTTTCTAACATCACTATCAGACAACAGTCTGACAGTAATGTAAAACAAATCCACGAATTTTATCGTGACGAAGAGCGCAGAACTGCGTCTGTCTTTGCCAGGGGCTTAGGTACGTTATATGCAACAGTACGACTTTTCTCAATTCTGTCCCATTTTTGAAGAAAATTCCACTGGGAGACGGACCAAAATGTCTCCTACTTCTTTTACCTTATTACCAAACCACTTAACAGTAATTTCAGCTTGCGAGTATTTTAAGTGCGTCCATGCCGTATAGATACTACCATCAAAGTATTCTCCGGAAGTTAAGTCCAACGATACTGCAACCAGCAACACCAATTACTAATCTAATCAAGGCGGCAAATTAAAACATCAGTATAATGACTGTGGATCTACTTGATTATCAGTTTAGAATTAAAAGGGTTTTATTGGTTAGAACCTTATTGCTTCACTTTCTTGTATTTCCTAGTGGTTCGTCGCTAATTATTACCATTTTATATTTTTGCACATATTGATCATTTAGTAGCTCTTTAGATGTCTCAAATTATTCTTCACAATCAGTCGTCCAAAAGAATTAGATTCCTTAAACCTATATGTGTACTATCTAGTTTAAACTTTTCAATACTTTTATATCTATAAGTTAGCTCGGATCATGCTAAAAATAGAATCGACTTGCTTTTCTATTATCAATGCTCCCTCTCTTCTCTGTCTCAACCAACATTGTCTCTGCCTTTTGTTGTGACATTGAAAACCTGAAAGATGGAAACAAATTTCCATGTGGCGTAATCTGTCAGATTTGCTATAGAATCCTATAGAAGTTCGGTTTCATAAAATCCCACTAAGGGTTGAGCAACTAAGCTGGCTTGAGCACTAATAATTTTACTCGGGTTTGATTTCCAGAGAGATGAATTTGCGAATGATAATGATTTCTTGCTAAACAAAGTAAATCCGAAGCAATTTTCATTATAATGTTAACCACGAAAGTAATCTTTATGTAAATATCCAGAAAAATGTAAAAATACCCAGAGTTTCTTAATTATGTTTTGGCTATTAACAAATACAAGTATATTTGCAGATGATGGAAGCTTTCTAGAAAAAATATAATGTTCGGCATAAAAATAGATCTCAAGTGATTTTTGAAGAATAATATATTGGTATGAAAACAAATATTGCAATAATAGTTTGGAAAATTACGATAAAATAAGATTTTACTTTACAGATAACCAAAAATAATGGCAGAATAAACATTGATATATTAAGAAAGGATTTTAAACCCAAGCAAAAAATTCAAGATTTTTATTTGGCTAAGGTTCTAAAAAACTCATTATTTCAATCAAATTATACGAAAACAAAAGCGTAATATTTATTTTAAATTCAATAGATTACACGTAGAATTTTAAAATTTCTAAAACACATAAATTCTGCTAGGTGAGCTTCAGAGGGAAACAAATGCGAATTCTTAATGAAATAAACATTTCTCTGGTTTTTTCTATTTCCTTTTGTCTTATGATAAATTTTAAATACTTTACGTATGAAAAAATCAAGGAAACAAAATAAACTAAATATTAAAGGAATAAAATTACATTACCTAAATCTATGAATATCGTAACTGAATAAGAAAATTTAAATAGGCTAACTAACAAGCTTTTACAAGATTGATCTTCAGGCCCAGTGGCCAAGTAGATAAGATCGCTGAACGTCGTAGTAGTTGGACCTGTATTCTGACCCAAGCAAAAGACTGTCTTCTTGGGTATTTTTGTGATTTTTCCCATGTAAAACGTTAATATTATCCATTCTCTTTTAGAGTCCTTCATGCGGCATTCCTCTGCCTTAGGTTTTAATTTGCTCAAATCATGTAACCTAACCACTTTTCGTTGCTGAGTTGCTGAATTCATTTTGATTTTCAATTTCAGTAAGTTGCTCTGATGATGCCTGCAATTAAAAGGAAAGATATTAAAATAATATCAGCATGTTGTTAGTTATAAAATGTATTTAATATATAAATTCAGACTGTACAGAGGCAGTTCGCACATTTTTTAGACGATTTTGGTAAGCGGTAATAAAAACTCGTTTGCTTCAAAAGAAGTAATTGCAATTGTACTATGTTTTCAAAAATCAAAATTATCGCATGTGGCTTGAAAGTTTTGTTTTTATTCAAAATGGCAAATTTAACAAAGCAGTGGTTCGAAGGCTACGTTTACGCTCTTTCCGAAGAGAAATATGCACACTCCGTTAACCAAAAACGATGTGAAAGTCATGGTTTTGTGATATCTAAAGCGTCGATAGGTAATTCTCAGCAAGAAAAAAAAACGTCAAATTGGAGTCTCAGCGGGAACAAAATCCAACAAGTATGCAAGGTACTTGTTCAATGTTAAAAGAAAATCCCTTAGTCAAACGACAGGTGCAAATCATTAAAATGCTCGGTGTCCCTGTAAACTAAATGATAAACGTTGATTTAAATCTTAAGAAAGCGAAAAAACGCAATGTGCATCGTCTTCTTCCACGATATCGCTCAACGCAGGACACGCTGCAGAATTCTATATGAGAAACACTTATTCAAAGAAAAATGGAAAACAATTGTCACAATAGATGAAGCATGGGTGCATTTAATGATTGTAAAAAAAGAGCCATTTATCATAAAGGAGAAACAAATTTAAGTGCATGGTTTAAAGAATCGAAAGATTTTCTAAGGGATTCATGATTCTTGCTGGTTTTTCTTATAATGGCAAGTTAAAAATGTCAGGATTAACTCCAAATACTATCAAGAACATATTTTATCGACAATTTATCTGAATAAAATACCATCGCTTTACCCGCAGTGCCATCAATCTGTGAGACTCCAGTAGGACAAAGCTAGCAGTCACACATCAAAATCCACTGTAAATTTTCTAAAAGAAATGGAACAAAAACTAGTATCAAGGCCATACCCTTCACTGATATCCCTACTAAATCTCCCGATGTGTCACCTATGTATTTTTCTGCTTTCGGACTTTTAAAAACTGCATTATCCAAACGTTGTCCCAAACCCTTAACAGGACTCGAACTAACAGGAAAGCTATTTGGGAGGAATGGGATAGAATATCTCTTCTACCACTTCAAAAGGCATTATTATCCTCGAAATTGCGGTGTCAAAAGATAGTTCAGAATAAGGGATGTCAAATAGAACATTTAAAACACAAGAATTGTATGTAATTTAGTTTTGTGAATACAATATACATCGTCTAAAATATGTGTGAACAGCCTCTGTAAAATTTCTGTATAATAAATCTCTTTTGCAAGTTAGATGGACATTTTCTAGTATATTTGATCTTTGGTTTCCAAGTGTCATTGAAACTATTTATCTCAGTTTGGGTCTTAATGCTTTACTTTAATGCTTAACGCTTTTAAATACCAATACTGACACGACCGAGTTCCATAAACAATGGAATACTGGGAGAGACAGAAGTTAGTTTCATTTGTTTTATTCAAAATGTGTCAGAAAATAGTAAAAGTGTCAAATCGAAACATTTTTCACGTTAAATGAATCCGACAGTAAAATGAATTCACCTTTTGCAGTAAAGGGAAGTTGCAAAATTGTCTTCGAAGCAGTTATCCACCAAGCTCGCTGTATTAACTACTCGCTGTAAATTAATTACTTTCCAGAATAAAAATTCATCTCTGTGATCAACATTATTGATGTTGTAGAATTCCTATGTTGATTAACCAATTATTATAACTTAAACCTTTACTATAACTTCTCCTTTCCGTAGCCTCACCAGGAAGCTTATTGAATACAGAGCTCTTCGCTGGACGCCTGCAATTTACGTTCTGTCGCCCAACTCTGCCAGTGAATATTAAATAAAGTAAAGGTTATTTAAACCTTCTTAGGAATTTGTCACAATATTTCAAACGGAGCGATTACTCACTTGTCAGAAATTTAATAGATAGTAATAGATTAGACAGTCTTTAGGGTTAGAAGGATTTTGAATTAGTCTACGCCTTAGGACCCTATAAAGTTTATTCTCTCTATATATATTTAGAATATTATTCACTTAAATGTTTCCTGATAATTGTTTAATGTTAAATGATGTTATTCAGTGGTTGATTATTCTTTTCATTTTGTGATTACTAGTCAGTATAGCATATGCAATATTTCACAGTACAATTATCTAAAAAAGACAAATATTTTAAAGTGTTACGTACTTCATCTTACTTTTGCAGTGTGTTTGGAACCAATGGGACTTGAAAACGAGCTCCTGCCAGACAGTCGAATTACAGCATCGTCTTCCCTATCAGAGATTAGAAGTCCGCCTTCTGTACGTTTGAGCAGTGATGCTTCGTGGTCACCAGCTACAATAGACGAACCACAGTTTCTTCAGGTATTCTTTTTGATGAAGTTGATCATGACTCTAGTACTATAATTTGCAGTTTTTCTCATTATTTAGTTCTACTCATGTAAAATTTGGAAGGAATTTTCACATCTTCCAATTAAAGTTAACTCCTTAAAGTATTTGCATACAGTTCCCTAATTTATCATTTCCAAGTAAATTTAATGTCTAAGGAGTGAAATTTCGTATATCTAGGATTTCATTTCCTTAGTTTTGGGATAACTATTATTTTGCGGATACTTATTAGTTATCCACATAATAGAAAGTGAGATAATTATTAATCTCACTTCTTTCGCTTTCTTCATTAAGTCGAATGCAACTTAAAAGTAGTATATAATTATTTAAATAAAAAAATGAGCTCCTGCCAGACAGTGGTCAGACATACATTGAACTTAATATCAAATTTTAAAATTTCGAATAAATTTTACTATTTCTTGATTCTGTGAATTGCTTTCAGCACACTTCAGCTTCAGGTTATTGTGCTTCGACTGCTCTTTCTCCCTAAACCTGAGAGAAAAGTGCTGGAAACTTTTCGATGCTTTGTGTCGAAAAGTAATGACTAACCTTAGATGAATTTATATACATCAAGATGTTACTAAATCCGTTTTATGGGAACTTTGTTCACATATGTATAGAACGTTTTTACATTTATCTTATAAAACCATAATTAGCATTTGTAAGATTTTCACTTCCGAAGGCATAATTAATAAAATAACGGATTTTCATACCCCGTTTTTAACTGGTAGACTTTTTTTATTTAAATAATTATATACTACTTTTATTAGAATACAGATGAAACATGTAGCACTGTGTGTAAAAGTTTCCTCTTATATCCATACAAAAAAAGTTTCGTTACAAGACATAAATGCAGAAAAACCATGAAGTACTCTTGAATATTCTCGGCTATATGCATTAAACTGAAGATTGTATGTGTCGTCTTTACGACTTTTTCTGCTGTTTTTGTATGTGCAAAATGAAGCATTGCTACCACATGTCATTTTTGAGTGAATAGAAAAGCACATGCCATAGTCAGTTACTTTAGAGTAGGAACTTCAAAGCCTTCCCATCTTATGTTTGCGATCATAACGTTTGTTATCTCCTGTTTACGATCGTCATCGCTGTACCGTATTTATTTCCTGTACTTCTTTTGAGGATATAGTTCAAGTTAACATTCTTCCACGCTCTCTATTAGATTTCTTTACCGGAATTATTTCTTATATTTCATTTTATATATTAACTTATAAGTGTTTTTACAATGAAAAGCATAATACATGTAACAAGATATTCTAAGTTTTTATATTAAACTTTTTCTTTAGAGAATCAGTCGATTTTGATGCCTTGTAAATAGTATCAACTGCTGGAATAATTTAACCTTCTACTGCTTCTACTGCTTAATTGAGGTTTATTCCAGAATCGAAGCACGCATAAGAGAAATGAAGTGGGGGAAAAATTAAAAGACTCATCCTTTTTCCCCAGCTTTTGTTTCCGTAGTTACAAGTCAAATCGAGGGACGGAAAATAATCTTGAAGTTCATATTTTAAAAGCAACAGATTATAGAAAGCGTTTCTATTATTAATCCTTATATCGAAAGAGAATTGCATGAAAATGTGCGTTTAAAAAGTACAAACATTACACAAGCGAATGCTTCGTAAAGCAAACATATAGTGTAAAAAACAAACCTGTAATATTAGTAAGAATAAAAAAAACTTCCATTGTATACGGAAGTCTATATAATACTGTTGTAGATCCTCAGACGCGAAATTAATGATTATAAATCTTGCAAGGCGAAATTTGACTACTAACCATGCAAATTCAGGATAACCTTACGATTTTTTTCAAATGAGTATGATCTCAAAGTTTGTTTCCTGCCTACTAAGATTTCGAATTTTCCTTCTTATTTATGCCACAGACACGATGTTCTGTTCCATTCCATATCAAATCTACTGAAGCAGCATAAGTGCATGGCATGAAGTCTGTGAATGAGACCCAAAGAATAGGTGGATAGAAGATGAAAGATCTGACAAGGTCAAAATTGTCCAATAAAAATCTGTTACGGAAGTCATAAAAATGGAAGATAATACCAAGGCAAGAGTGAGATGGAAACAGATAAGGCAAAATAGAGGGGAAACAATGTTTGCAAAAATACGGCTGTACAGATTACTTAGTTTTAGCTTATACGAGAAATAAAAATATATATGAGTAAACCCTAATTGGAGAACAAACCATGAAACATAACTAAAACTGCAGGGAAGATGTAAATAAATGTATGTGATGGAATAATGGTACAAATGAGACAAAGGGAAATATATTTGCAGTAGGCATATTATATATAAATAGTCCAGTAAGAATATTATATATAAATATTATGCTAAGCATATAAGGTATTTCTCCTACTTTCCTAGGGTGTCTTCGTGGTATAGTGGATCTGCACGCTGGACCGGTATTCCAGAGGTCCGTGGTTCGATTCCCGGCAAAGGCGTTTGCTAATTTTACATCTTGTCTGCTTTCAAAAATATACCTAATGTCTCTACAAGCATACCGAAAATGTAACGTGCTACAAATACATGTTGAAAAGTAAATCTAATGCTTGAAAAGTGGTACTTTCATCTTGCAAACGCAGTTAATTAACTAGATTTTGGTCTATGATAAATTCGAAGATGAGAGAAAATCAAGAAAGAAACGAAAGAAATATATAGAAAGAGATCCTCCTCTGTGAGAACTGCACCTATCTCTCAGGGACTTCACCTACTACTCACGTAAGTGCTGCCACCGGCCAAGTTGCTAAGTTAGACCTGGGTTCAATTCCATGCGAGCGGGCTGGCTGCCTGAGTATTTTCGAAGTTTTCCCCGTCTTTAACATAGATACGAGCCACTTTCTCTTACAAAGGCTTCCAGAAAAAGCATCCCTTATCTTAGGCAGATAGCCTTTGCATGCTTTCCCGTAGTCAAATAAACCAAACTAAAATTCATGAAGGAACCAAATTTGTAATTTATTAATAGCAAAAATGGAGAGGAATTATACACTTTTAAAAATGATACAGCTTCCTTATATTCACTAGAAAAGTCGTTTTAAAAAATGTTACTGTACATTCCATTCAAAACTTCCAATTTATATTTAAACCCATCATTTAGAAAAGTTGTTATGTAGAGATTAACACACTACAGTACGTAATCCAAATTATAATATTACAATTGTTTGACTATTTACTTGCAAATTGTGCGAGAACCATCAAAATATGAATCAATAGTCAACATCTGTTATTTAATTTTATCTTGAATTTTGCAGCTATAAATTATATGTTGTACTGCTAAAATCTATGAACAGAGAGTTTGCTGCTTATCAGGTAGTCGCTTCCATAGTGATCTCTGAAAGATATTTATGTATTTAATTACGCCAAATATTTTGATGGTTCTCGAACAATTCGCAAGTAAATAGTCAAACAATTGTAATATTATAATTAGGATTACGTACTGTAGTGTGTTAATCTCTACATAAAAACTTTTCTAAACGATGGGTTTAAATATAAATTGGAAGTTTTGAATGGAATGTACAGTAAAACGACTAAATTTTTAAAACGACTAAATTTTTAAAACGACTTTTTCTAGTGAATATAAGGAAGGTGTATCATTTTTAAAAGTGTATAATTCTTCTCCATTCGACACACACTAGGGTTCTTTTTATCAACCGAGCAGTAAAGTGGTCAGTAAAATGAAGGGTACGTCAAAAGCATGTATATGCACTTTAATGAAAGGAAAGTCTTTATTGCATGTTAACGACAATTTTAAGTTATTATAATCATTGGTTAGGTTAAGTTTAAATAAATATTCCTATACCCTTACTTGTAGGTTAGTTAGAGTGCTTAAAGTGTAGAGCGATGGCCTTTAGCGGCCAGCTACATAGCACAACGACAAGTGGTTGCTTGAACAACGTTGGTTAAAGTGCCCATAGGGATTGCTGAACTTGCAGCTGTAATTTCTTGACGAAGGTCCTTTCTCGTAACTAGTTTCCTGCTGTACACAATAATCTTCAAGCTTTCTCAAAGTCATTTTCAGTTACTATCATCGTTCTCGCATCATATACACTGGCTTCCAAAAGTTAAGCAACAAATTGAAAACTAACAATAAATCGGTTAAAAATAGTATTTAATAGTCGTTAAAAAATAAAAACACTGTTGTCTATCAATGCATTCTTTTCGAAAACTTTAATGCAAACCACTTGTGAAATACCTCATCACATGACTGGTTATGAAACAAAGGTTTAACATAATATTTGCTTTGGTCCGATATTTTGCAAGAAAGATTAACCGAATATGACTGTTGCAACAATTGTTTCTGTGTAAATGGAATGGATATTTTCGAAATGACTCCTAAAATATTTTTAGAAACTTCTCCAATAGCAAAATAAAGAATTAATTTCAGTCTGCTGCTTCATATTCGGCAATTGATAAATTTGTACCTTTAAAACTACAAAAGGCATTTCCAGGTATTTTACATAGCAAGTGTTCTTGTTCATACTAGAATAACATGATTTATAAATTTCAGAATCGTTATCTTAAAATGGATGCAAAGCACCTAGCTTGCAAAATTATTTAAATAAATCTTTTACTTGCATACAAAATAGGCACACGAGAAAGAAAAAACAACAATTGGCATAGGTTTTTATTTTATAAAAACTTTCAGTGCTTCAAACATTATCGCCTGTTTCATGTAGAACTAAAATGAAAAACAAGTACCGGAAACAGAAGGAAAGATTGAAGAAATTTCGAGAACAGGTGCCATCTATAATGAAGGAGAAAATAAAAATAACGGAAAGAAATAAAACAGTTTTTGCGTTTCTATCTAAGGATTGAAAATGGAATCAGAAATTATTTATTTATAGTTGGTTAGGAATGATGGGTTAGTGTTAATTTATAGTTGGTTAGGAATGGTGGGTTAGTGTTATGGAAAGGGTACCTAATTCACCTTACGAAAAGTTTTGGATGATTTTGGGA